TTTACACACTCTACAGCAGGGCTGCTTAAGATTTCGCAAAACAGATCTCAGCCCATGCCAGAAACCTAGGAGAGGATATACTGCTCTTCTCTTCTTATCTCAGAAGGTATTTGGTCATCTTTAACATTGTAGACACCTTTGGCTCTGATATTGGCACTCCTGTGCAGAAAATCCATCAGCTTTGCAAATAAATGCACCAAACACTTACTGAACAATTATAATTTCAGGTAAATCATATTCCTATGTTGACTTTATTTATTATTTTGTAGTAATAACATCATTGCTAATAATAGTAAGCATATGTATGAAGTATGACTAAACAGTCACCGGACATTTTGTGTCATAGTATATATAATTTGTCTAATTTCATTTCCTTCCTTTCTTTCAGTTTTTGTACCAACACTATATTTCCTTTCACCACAGGGGGTTATAAGCATTTTCCCACCTTTTGTTCTGAAGCAGATGGCTTGTTTTCTCTGCACAGTGCTATTTAAAGATCTGGAAGCCATGACACAGAAAAGGTAAATTACACCTTGCACTTAGGAAAAGTCAGTCTTATTTGACACAGGATGTTGGGCTTTAGAGTCCACATGCTCTGTCTAACACCCATAACCTTTCTTGACCCGAGGTATTAATTATAGAAGTATCAATCAACCGAAATCAGAGTAAACAGAATGGGGAAATTGTGGGTGACTATTTCCTCTAGAATTTCATAAACCTTACATGAGAACCACATTTTGGATTTTCGGAAATAGTTAGAGGATACACAAGAAAAAGTAGCTTCCTGTTTGACAAATCCTTTGTAATGTGGATGTGAATGTAAAGGCTTTATAACTACAGTGTATGGAAAACCTGGTGGGGTTGTGTAGAAATGAATGGGTTTGAATTAAGACGACTCTTAAATTTCCTGTGCAAACTAATTACTATGGGCTAATTTCCTTAGTGCTTCCCATGACACCATCGACATTGGGTTAATAGTATGTTACACCTCATTGCTCCACCTGAAAGAGTAGATGATGTCATGAAATCCACGTTCTTACTATTTAGTGAGAAATGATGTTTTAAATTGCACTTGGTTTTTGATGAGTTTCTTTTTTACATTCTTTTTTGAGGATCATCAGAGAAGAATGTCATATCCTATCACATGAAGTATATTTAAACATAAAGCCAGGCTGTTGAGAACATGCCATGTGTTTTCAGCTAATGTGGGAAATCACTTTCATCAGGAAAAAAAAAGAGAGAATCAAACTGTCTGCTGGGTATTCACAATGGTAATCAGGTTACAACCCTTTGTTCCAGTTCATTCAGACAGCTGTGCTGGCATCCTAACTGGCACCTTGGAGAAAGTATTTTAAAGCTACATTACATTCTTAATGATACAGGTAGAACTCTGCAAACCTAAGGCGATTCAAGGAGTTTAAATCAGGCTGTAGAACTTTCGAGAATGATAAGGCAAATGGAAGCAAAATTGGAATTTTCTTTTTACAAAATGCTGAAATTCACAGAAAACATATTATGCTCTTGTCAAAAGTCCAGTCTCCATTCAACTCAATGTGTTCTGAATTGTCTTTGCACTGAAGAATTTTGCTTTTCACTTATCTCTTTTCTCTCTTCCATAAATAATCCTTCATTTACCAGTTGCATTATTCATATAATTGCAATGATATGCCCTATTAAATCCAGGATTTGCAATCTTATATACGATCAAATCTCTACAGAGATGTTCATTCCTCATCAAGCATAAGCACAGAAAGATTTTCTATTTGGGTCCTGGAGTCCTCATTTCTTATGTTTACCCATGACTGGGGCAGTTTCTAAGGCTTTCCTTATTTTCTAAAGACTTTAACATATTGTATTTTATAGACAGGTAATTTATAGGCAGAAATATTGTACAGGTATTTCATAGATCACCTTTCCACTATTACTTATCTGGTTATTTTCTCTTAATTGAACTGGCATTGTGAGTTCTTGAGGTAGAGTGCAGGGGTAAATCACGACTCATCATCCTTACTTTTGGTGACAATAGCACTGATACACCAAGGAAGCGGTGTCAAGCATGTTTGTGCTCTGAAGCTTTACAATTTTCATCTCCTTTTCCATATTGCACGTTTCAGAAGGAAGATCTTAAGCCTCTTTGTACTTACAAAAGATATAGTCATGGTCAACTTCTCTGAGGATGGAGTAGAACATACATTTTTTAAAACTCCTGTGCACAAAATTGTCTTTTCACATTTTTTTATTCAGGCACTTTGATGTCAGAATAAAGTCATGGATATTTTCTTTGGGGGATATAATCTGACACTTTTATTTTGTTACTTCCAGCTTTCATTCTTGGGAGCTGTGTCAGCTGGTTACTCTGCCTATTTGACAGTCTCATTACTTATTTACTACAATCTTTCTCACACTACAGAACACTCAAGCTTATGTTATATATTCCTTGACTCTTTCCTAGGATTACCAATTCATTCCAAAGATGTCTGGTGATTGTAATGATTTTGCAAATCAAGAGCTGAGTAGTAGGTTTATTGACTTTCCTCTGTTGGTTTTAGGTCCACCCAGCTCACAGAGTAAGAAAACATATGTGTATATACTAACACTTGTATACATACATATCTATAAATATTTCTGTATGTCACCATCTGTATTTATACTAAGCCAAATGAGTTAAGATTAGTGGCTCAGACTCTTGTTCTTTAGCACATGGACCATTCTGGCCTTGCTTATCTGTGAACTCCCACTCCTACTTTGAAAAACCTGTTCTCACCATATGTAATTAGTTTATTTAGTTATTCAGTTCCACTCCTGTATGAATAGAAATATCAGAACTCATAAATTGTACCTGCAAAATATAACTTTACCTAATAGAATATAGCATTTGTGTATTATTACCTTTCTTTTTTCTTCTTATGTACTCCGCATAGGTCCCATTAGAAGAGCATGGTGCCAGAGATTATTTGTCTCTATGGCTACATAATGCTATATGTATGAATTACAACTTCTTTTTCTGTTTGCCTATTGAAAGATATGTTGGATGCATCCAGATTTAGTTGACCATAAATAATTGTTTTGTAAATGTCTCTATGCAAGTTTTTACTTTAATGCAAGTTTTCAGCTCATTTGACTGCTATGATAAAAAATTCAGCTGTATTCCAAAGTTGACTGGACTAGTTTGGATTCCTATCAGCCATTTCCTTATCTTTCTCATTTTTGCCATCATTTTGTGCTCTAAGTGTTTTTGACCTTAATTGCTTTCTGCTTATAGTGATTTTATACAAAAATATTGTTTAATTTTTTATTATTGCCAGTGGTTATAATCCAATATTTTCCATTTGATATATGAACAATCAATCTTGTGTATGATGAATAATGTGTTTTTCTATTTGATTCTTCCTTTAGGCTTCATTTTATAAAATTCCTTTTCATTCATTTTTGCTGGACTTTCCAGCACCACTATTTCAGTGGTCAGTTGAAGCAATGATAACAAATATCTTCTAAATTAAATGTTGTTTTAGCCCTTCTGGACCAGAGGTGAGTACCCGGGTCCAACCCGGACCCCATCCCTGGGCACTAGCCACTCGGGGAAGACCTGCCCAACTTGGCACCAGGTTCTGGCCACCGGGCAGCTCCCCTTCTAGCCCCACCGGGAGGGATCCCCTTTTCCAAGCCCCCCTCCCCCGGCAGCCCCTGCAATCTCCGCGCCCTGCCCCCACGCCCAGCCCATCTGCCCGAGACCACAGCCACTTCCTGAGACTTAGAGACCAGCCCCCAGCTCCCAGCCTGCCCCCGACTTCTCTTCTGGACCAGGGGTGAGTACCTGGATCCAACCCGGACCCCATCCCTGGGCACCAGCCACTCCGGGAAGACCTGCCCAACTTGGCACCAGGTTCTGGCCACCGGGCAGCTCCCCTTCTAGCCCCACCGGGAGGGATCCCCTTTTCCAAGCCCCCCGGCAGCCCCTGCAATCTCCGTGCCCTGCCCCCACGCCCATCTGCCTGAGACCACAGCCAC